AATCTTAACTTTCATATTTACCTTCATGAAGCTCTAATATTTAATATCACGTCAAAAATAGCATTATTACTTATTTATTAATGCGCAAAATTTTCTATCTTTATTATTATTTTTATCATTGATATTGACAATGCAGTCCACATACCGAATATTTGTTATTGGTACTGTCAGATGCGAAAAATTATTCCATACAGATGGCGTATGCAGGAATGTATGCGCGGTCCGATCTCCACCGTTGATCAGAGCTTTCATCAATATGTTTTTTTTTAAATTAGGCCCACCGAAATACAACTTTGCTATGATCAACGGTGGAGATCAGATTGTATGAAATAATGTTTTGTGAGATGCTAAATAAATTCCATCGAATATTTTTTTACATATAAAATAAATGGCATATTCTCTAATTATGTGTGTTTATTTTATTACATGCAATATAAAATATTTATTTTAGTAATAATAGATGATTGACTGCCCTCTTTTTCTATTTATGAAATCTTACTTGTCACCAATTTTAAAGCAATTATCATTTGAAAAGAAAAAAAAACTATCAAACTTTTATTATTATGTTCCAATTTGATGAAATCATAACTCATGGAAGTACTTCACTCGCATATTGTTTTTTAATGTGCAAGTAGCAATATGATAATATAGTCTATACATGCAAATTCAACCAAAAAGTTATGAAATGCAATGGGCATTTGCATACATACCCACCCAATTGCTAAGCATTTATATCTCTAACATCTAAACTTTTTACTTTTTTACCCCCTACATCGTATGAACAAATTATTGTTACCCTTGTCATTCAATAAGGCTTGGTGTTTCAAAATGTGGTGTGCTCCCAAAAGAAAGATCCCCCTGCAAAGTAAAATCCTCGTATTCATAGAAGATATGAGGGGCAAACATATAAAAATTATATGTTTAGCCTCGTTTTAAAAGGAATAGCAAATAGCATTTTAGTCTCATTTATTCTTAAAGTTGGAATGTCAAGAGATCCGTGCAGATCATTTTTTCAGTATACATATTAAGTTCGTCCATTTTCTTGTTGTTTGATAAGCGGCAATTGCAATAAGAATAGGGAAATTTAGAGTTATTGAACACATAATTTGTTAATGATACCCCCTGTTGGACATTTTTCGCGCTTGATTTTTGTATCTTTGTAGTCATTTGTTGGGTTTGTCGTTCTAGAGTTTTCTTTGTCGACAGGAAGTTGTTTGGTTTTGGTAAAAGAGTCGGTTGTCAGAGATGAGGGTGTCTTAGAGGTGCTTGCTTCAGAGGGGAGTTAGAGTTGCTCGCCCCGGAAGAGAGTGTTAAACCCTTATCAATGATCGGACGTCTATGACGTTGTTGTTGGTTGTTTTGTTATGCCTTTGATCGATCAGACTCTTGATGTCGTTTTCAATTGTACCACGTGGGTTCGAGTTCCCAAGTGTAGAGCGGTCATCTGTGAGAAATGGTTGCCAGAAACCCCTTGTTGGGGAGAAAGGAAACTTCCAAAGCAGAATGGGCAATATTGAAGTGTTAAGAGGGAATTGCATGATACGACTGTAGATCCCACTAAATTCGTACCCGGTCATCCCCGATACGTTTAACAATTCGAGTACCACACCCTCCACCAGGGGGAATCGAGCCCCAGATCAAAGAATTCGAGTACCACACCCTCCACCGGGGGGAATCAAATCCCAAACCAAAGGAAGACTTACAAGTAGATGCTCGACCAACCGATCTAAGTACACGGCACCTCTAAGATAAAGTTAAAAGAAATGGACTATAGTGTTATGTACGTAAATATAAAACTTTTGATATTATTACGTACATACATGAGAATTGAATGCAATATTTGCAACCACCGAAAGCCAATATTAATTACTCGAAGATTCCAATTCAAATTGGCTCCGTTGACTCTGTCCTCTACAAGTTTCAAAGGAAGGGGGCCTAATGCAAACGAAACAGGTTAATTTTGTAATTATTGAATGCAATATAAAGTGGATATATCATAAGAGCTATTCTAAGAAAAAAAACATATTATAATAACTATAAAAATTACCTTAAATTAAATGTAATGCATAAATAAATATTTTTTTTTATATTATATATAGTTATGGTAAATTTGATAAATTTGAAATTTATTGTAACTATTTTTTACTCTAAATACTTTGATATAACTATTTTTCTAATCCCATAGATTAAAAAAAATTTATTTTATAATATCTTGATTAAATTATAAAAAAAAATAATAATTAGTAAATTTACTTAATAATTAATATTATGTTTGCCAAATTTATGATATGATTTTTTTTTAAATTTAGGAGCATATATATCACACAATTCTAAAGTATTTTTGTATGTAACACTTAAATTTTTATTATTATAGTCATAGCACTCAAATGTTTGATATCACATAAAAATTATTACAATTCTTAATGTTCTAAAAATAAGAAATATATTTTTTTATTAAACATTATGATGTAAAAAAGCATTATAAATATAAATATAAAATTTTGTTATTAGATGTACAAATATTTTAAAAAATTATATCATATAGATATAAATTCCATAAATATTCCTTTTCATATATATATATATATATATATAT